AACAGTATCATTTGACTTTGGCTGTCTCAAAGTTCTAGGTTATTGATTAATCTGATATCTATGTCGCGTCTTTATTAACACCATGACGTCCCAGAGTAAGGCCCTCATACCTTAATGTTGGATGACCTCTAGGCAAATTAAACATTACTCATTTCTGCATTGTAATTTAAGCACAATAAAATAAAGAGCATACCTTAGATTCCCTACTTAAATCAAGATCTGACAACCATGTCTCATCAACGACAACTTGAGGAGTTCTAGGCTTTCTATTATAAGCAACTGTAGCAATGGAGGAAGTTAAAACGACACGTTTCACTGATGGAAATTTAGCACAAGACTTGAGAACATTGAGAGTTCCTTTGACCGCTGGATCGATTAGTTCATCCTGCAACAAGGAGTGTAACAGTCACGAGCTGAAAATTATGGTATTATGAGTCTCACATTGGAAGACTCCCAAGTGTAGTGAGATTAACAAGTCCCATTCAATACATTAGTTTTTTCTGATATTGAGCTCTCTCTTTAGATTTGTGCTTATAACATAAGGAGCCTGGCTTCAAATACGAAGCTATCAACAAAGGCAGAATGGGAAGAACCTGCGGATCTTTGATATCATTAATAATAAAGGGAGAAGCAGTATGAAAGACACCCACACATCCCTCAATAACAGGATCAAAGGAACCTTCATCCATCAAATCTGCTTTCATCAGCTGCAATCTCTCCTTTGCACCATCAAGTTTCAGCAAGTGGTCTATCTTTTTTGGATCATCTGCAGGCAGTCACAAAAAACCAAATTAAGCTGTCACAATCAGAAGTATATTTTTTTTTGAAAGACAAGGAATGGCCAGAATTTTCACTAAAGAACCACAATGTCCAAAGCCAAAAGCAATATCAGAGCCATAGATGATATATACCAGTCGTAATCTATTTATTTAATTATCTACTAGTTGTTTGGTGATGATGATATGGTTCAGTTTCATTTTTTAATTGCCATTCAAAGGCATGGAAAGATATTTCAGCTTATAAATAAGCTTATGAGCTAGCTAGCTGGGACATAAAGCTCTCCCATAGGTTCATATCCTCATCTCTCCACAAATACCCTGTAGGATCCATTATATCCGATCTTTAATAACCATATCTAGATTTTAAAATAAAGCAGAGTCATTAGACAAGAAAAAAGTATTAATAAATTTTCAATAAGTTATATTATTGATCCTTATTCTTTTTTTTTTCCTGGAAAAACAGTTAAGGTACAAGTTGGCCTCAACCCAACCCAACAAGCCAACCCGAATGAGTCCTATAACTTCTAGAGTTGGGCTTGGCAACTCAACAATCCAAATATATATACGAGCGTGTGTAAATAATATATATATATATATATATATATATATATATATCTATTGAAAGGAGAAGGTGCTTGACGCCATGAAGCAATAAAGCCAGAAGCACCAGTTACACACACACCATCCCTTTTCCTGCGTCGTTGCTTTTTTTGGCGGCTTAATTTTGGATTGAAGTGGACGAAAAAAGGAATTGAAGCTGTTCAATTATAATCAGTTAGTTCCACAGTCACTTTTCCAGCATCTAGTTTGTCGTTTTGCAATTATCATAAGATTCCATGGTTCTACGTGTAACCAAGGCCTCCATTCATTCAATTAACATTATCATCATCGTTTAGACGATAATGTTTTATTATAATATAACCATAGCATTGACAGACAGAAAGTTCTTTTGAAACAGGCCCAATTCAATGCAAGCTTTTGTGTCCTTTTCAATGCCTTCTCAAGCAGCATTTAACTTAATTACAAAGGACATTAGAGTGACTACTTCCGAAGAAGATACATAGTAACCCAGAGCATGCTTGAGCTTTAATCAACATTTACAGTTCATAGAGAGATCACAAAAGTTAAAAAGTTGACAAATTTCTTCTCCTTCAAGCTTTCCACTGTCTCCTTGATCCTTGAGGGTCACATCCAATAGGTTAAATTCAATTCCCAATGCTTTTGCTTTTTCATTGGAAACTTGAAATTTTGGCATGAATGGCTTATCGTCCGCACACCTATCAAGTGTAATTAGAAGCCAAGAAATGATTGGTGAAAAATCATCAAAAGCTTTCAATCTTTATTCTTCCTTTCAATCCAAACATACCCATCATTTCAAGTTGCAGGCATACATAATGAACAATTACAGGAAACACAGTTGAACCCTTCACTGGGAAAGCTAAGGAGAAGGACTCAAGTGAAATACAAAATGAAGCCTTGTGTAGAAAATTAAACCAAGCTCTGACGCCACATGGATATTATGGAACATGCGCACAACAGTAAAACAGGTGAAGATCTTGGGTTTGTGATAGATTCTGGGGGGTTCTGGTATTTAACAAATTCCAAAAAATGACTGAACAAAAGCTTGCTTTCTAGGTTCTGTTGCACCATAAAAACCTTCCGTGGTAAATAAAGTAGAAACAACTATTAAAGAAAATAAAATACAGACAATTTAAGTATTGACATTCCAGAAAAGAGAAAAAGTTACAAACATATTTGATAAGGATATATAACTGAACTATATATCATATGAAATCTTAAAATTGTAGAAATAATTGAACTTACTTTCAGGAAGCTGCAATGTTGGATACAGCTCACGTAAAATCTTCACAGCATCTGAGAATTGTGCCGCTCTCCCAACCAAACAATATCTTCCACTGGCTGAAGGGGTTTCAAACGCTTTAAATTGTGCATTTGTAACATCTTTCACATTGACCCATCCAAAACAATTACTTGGAAATGTCTGTGCACCTGTATCAATAGGCAAGGATGGAAAGAGTCCCTAAAAGGTTTGACACAAAAATTCTTGTCTCAGGCTAAAAACGATATACTTAATACGCATGTAGGCAGCTAATACTTCCTGAAATAACAACAAAAATTGAATCAACAGCTTATGTCCTCAATAAATAAATCAATATAAAATACAAATAGTATACATCCGGCTTCACATGCATGAATCCCCACCTTAGTTTTGACAAGGAAAAAGATTTTAGGGATATAATTCGGTTCATCTAAAGATAAAACCATCGTTCAAGACCAGCATTTTAAGTCCTTACGTCAAACATATCCTTAGAGATGCGGTCACCATCCCATTTCCTGTAAGATGAGAGTGTGTGACAATATTAAAGCATAAAGATAAAAAGGAAAATTATTCTGATCTGGAAGAATGGTCAGCATTACAATTCCAATGCACACTAAGTCAAGTTTAACTTGTTTAGAGTGTGATAACCTTCCATTACCTTTTCCTACTCTCCATCTTTTGAAACTAGTCCCCATTCTTTTTCTGTTGACCAGAGCCATAAAATCATTTTGCCGAAGATGAACAGGTAACTCAAGTGATTTGTGAGCATAAATTGGTTACCGTTTATTAGATTCAAAATTGCAGCAGCACTTGTGTTGAGAATTGGTTGCAAGAGAGGTCCAATCTCACCATCGCAGGATTCATTCCAACCAAGTCAATGTTATTCTCTTTTGCAAATTTCAAGGCAGCTTCTTCAGCCAAAATCTTGGAAACTCTGTACCACACCTGAAAGTTAAAAATTGGAAACAGCAAGCAACTTGAAGAAAGTTTGAATTCATATGCATGACAAGTAATCACATTTTCACCCACTGGAACAACTTTGGGATTCAAAACTTAAACGAAAGGGACTTTAGTCCAAATAGAGGACATCAAAACAAGCAAAATACACTCTAATGCAAAATAGAACAAATACACAGGTTTGTGGGTTGTTAAGATGAAATAGTTGAATAAAAAGAAGACACAAGTGATCTGAGTCACCTGACGGAGGATTTGGGCAAGGTCTGAGATGATTTCAGGGAGGAAGAGTCTTTGTGGATTTCCCAGCGCTACTGAAGTTTTCTTTGTGAATATGATTGACATGGAGTTTTCTTTCTATTTACTAATTTCACCGTATTATGGAGTGTTATGCCGTATTGAAGGAGCGACAAAGCATTGACAATATCATCTTATTCTTACCTCAGGAGTTATCCACACCACAAGAAGCTTAAAGAAGAAGCGCCATCAAAATGGACCTGAAAAAGGCCTACGATTGGACCCGATGGGACTTTCATTATCGAATGTCCAAGAGAACTGAGAATTCCTGAACATATCTCCAAAGTGATTGAACAGTGCGTTTCATACCCCACATGCAATTTCCCTGCAACGGAGCAACAGGAAATGAATCTACTCCCTCCGGTGTGAGACAGGGAGACCCGCTTTCACCGCATCTCTCTGTCAGATTGAGAGGCTTGGACATCTGATATAAAGTGCACATCTTGAACATTTTATCACATGGTACATATGATCGGTAAGGTATTCTTAAAAAGACAGCGCTCATTTAATAATATAAATAACTTCCTTAACTAATTTTTTAATCTATTTAAATTAGTTAACTAGTTCTTGTGTTAAGTACTGGAGATAGTAGTATTTCTCAAGAAATGTGAATCACACTTGTAGTCGATTTTGGGAAATTTTTCTAATTTTCGTACCCACAATGAACCTTGGAAAATACCTCGGCATGCCAATTCTTCATGGGAAAGTATCCATGAAAACGGACCCCATGGTGCAACTCCTACAGAAGGAATTAGTTAACGTCGCTAATAATATAGATGTCAGTAGTTAGTCCTGGTTGATGCCTTTGTTAATTTTTAAAAAAAACGAAAGAAAGAAAGAAAGAAAAGAAGACGCTACTTGAAGAAGTATTTTCCGCCTCAATTTGCTCATGCTGGTATTAAAAGAAAGGTGGATATGAATCTCCAAATCTCTTTGATTATTTTTCTTTTTATCAAATCCTTATAATTTCACATAACTATAAACAGGTCCTTATATTTCCTTCTTTTATTAATGTTTTTATAATTTCATCTGATTTTTAATCAAATCCTTTTAGGTTTAGTTGGTAGATAAAAAAAAAAAAGAAAAAAAAAGCATAGGAACTTGGTTTAAAATCATGTAAAGCTAAAAACCTGATAAAAAGAACAAAAAAAGAATATAGGAAACTGATTAAAAATTAAATGAAATTAGAAGGACCTAATTAAAAAAAATACAAGGACATGATTAAAAATCAGGTAAAACTGTAAAAACATGTAGATTAATTTTACCTAAAAATGCCAACATTCAAAATATTAATTTATAAACAGCATGCAGACAAGCCAAAGGTCTTTCAAAATAGCTCCTACCTAACACAAGCATTGTACCCCTCTCAGTGTCCTATAAAGCACCGTTTATTGTATTACAAAAGATCAGAGTTTTCAAATCCACAGATACAACTCAAAGCACGCTTGAGCTAACCAACCAACATTTACTCTTAAAATAGGGATTACAAAATTAAAAGTTGACAAATTTCTTCTCCTTCAAGCTTTCCACAGTCTCCTTGAGACTCACCTCCAACGGAACAAATTCAATTCCCAGTGTTTTAGCCTTTTCTTTAGAAACCTGGTATGTCGGCATGAACGGCTTATCATCCGCACACCTATCAAGTACAATGAGAAAGCAAGCAATGAGATTAGCAAAAATCAGAATGAACGTGTATGAAGTGAGAATACGGGCCATTTGGTTTATAGAATAGAATATGGTTTTGAAGGAATATGATCAAACTCTTGCGATCAAATGAGAGGAACACAATATTAGGAAATTTAAAGAATTTTCCTATTGCTCTAAGTTAGATGTGTTTGGGAATCAAACATTTCCTTTTAGATTTCTTTCAATTGAAAGTATGGATTCATGAAAAATACATCACAAATGTTGGAAGATGCAAAGATCCAAAAGTAGCCTATGAGAACTCCTTGCTATAGGATTTGATTGACAGTCACGGTCGAGCCTTTAATTTATTTTTAAATTGAAGCTTGCCATCCCTTTTCCTCCCCTGGATCCAAACATATTCATTCATTTCAAGTTGTAAATACCCATCATTTCAGGTCTTTAATTACCACCAATTCAAACACACCATTCGCTTCAAGACCCAAAAATACACAATGATCAAAATACTGGAAACACAAAGCTAAATTTACATCAAGCTCTAAGACGACACAGATATTCCACAGCAGTTAATTGCTGATTTTTCAGTCATGATAGATTCTAGATTTCCGGTATTAAATTTAACATTAGGCATTTATGAAAATCTGAAAAATGAAGGGACAAAAAACTTCGTTTGTCGGTCATGTTGTACCATAAAAACCTTCAGTACCAAACAAAGTAGAAAGCATTGCTTTCCTTCATTATTTTTTTCTTTAAAATAGAAAGTCAAAACATGTTACTTACTGGAATGTGTCTTATGTTTCACGCATTAAAAAAATTTCCACATAAAAAGGTTACATAACGTCCAGAATTCAAGTACTTCTCATATCTTCTAACCAATTTTATCACAATTGATAACCTATACGTTGTATAACACTCCAAACCACATTAATCATTAATCAGTATTAACCTGGGACAGATAAAGATAAACGGTAGGTAGATGGTGGTAACTCATGCAAGGATTTACACAAGTAAATTTAGGGACAGTTAGTTTAAAATTAAAGAGGGTAGTTAAGTTTGACACTTGAGTTGTTCGGAGAAGTTAAGCTAATCATGAAGGTTTTGTTAGGGGAAAAAAATCAATTTTAGCTTTCTTTTTTACAAGCTATTCTGAATAGCTTATCAAAATATCCTATTTCCAACAGATCCCCCATGTGTTTAGGTTAAATTCTCCTAAAAACTCCCTTATACTTCCAACAACTTTCTCATTTTTAGCCTAATTAAAATCACTTTTTTCCAATCTTAAACAAATTGGCCTTTATTTAGGTTAATATTAAAAAGTTTGATGCTTTCACTGCAAAACATGGTAGATTAGACAGCCATTGATTAACGTGATAATACACCGCAACAAAGTAGAGACAGTCATTGAGAAAGAAAAATGAAAAAGATAATTTATGCTTCAACATTTTAGAAAAGATATAGATTCGCAAACAGATTAGAGAACGACATATAACTAAACTATACACTATATCCAGTCTTAAACTTGTAAAAATAATTGAACTTACTTTTCAGGAAGTTGCAATGTCGGGTACAGCTCACGTAAAATCTTCACAACCTCTGAATAGTGTGCCACTCTCTCAACCAAACAATATCTTCCGCTAGCAGAAGGAATTTCAAGTGCTTGAATATGGGCATTTGCAACATCTTTCACATTGATCCATCCAAAAGTCATATTTGGAAATGTCTGGGCACCTGCATAAATCAAGGATGGAAAGAGTCCCTAAAAGGTGGAATGCAAAACTCATGTCTGGGGCCAAACATAGAGTATATATAACACATAAAAGTCATCAAATATTTTTCAAAGTAACAACAAAAATTAAATCACAAACAAGTCAGACTATTGGATCCTCAATAAAGAAATTTTGAAAAAATAAATTTAGATTATGATTTTGTTCCTCTGAAAGATAAAACCATTGTTCTCAACCAGCAACTGAGGTCCATGTGTCTAACACGTCCTAAGTGACAAAGTCTACTTTACATTTTGTATAGAAAAGAATTATGTCACTGATTTTTGTGCCAATTCCACTCCATGGGTTCCATTTTCCTTTTAATGCAGAATTTAAGTCAATGAGGATAAAGAGTATCTAAATTATAAAAGTTTAAAGCTACAAAAGGAAAAGCAAATGTTTTCATCTAGCATAATGCTAAGCATTATAATTCCAATGCACATTAAAACAAGTTTAAGCTACTGATTAAAATATTACAACTTTCACACTTTGTTCTGCACTTACTATCTTGTACACTGATGCTGGTTCTTTTTCCATTTACTAAAGCCCTGAAAAACAATTGAGTTGGAGTTGACCATGTAACTCAGATGCTTCATGAATAGAAAAAGAAAGTACCATTTATTATATTCAAAACTGCAGCAGCACTAGTGTTAAGAGTTGGTTGCAAGAGAGGTCCTATCACCATTGCTGGATTGATGGTAACCATGTCAATGTTGTTCTCCTTTACAAATTTCCAAGCAGCATCTTCAGCCAAAGTCTTTGAAACTGTGTACCACAGCTGAAAGCACAAAATTGGAAAAAGAAAGAAACTTGAGGACATTGTAAACTAGTATGCATGACAAATAATCTGATAGGATTCCTAGTAAACCAACCATGACTTACCAAAGGCGAAATAAAAGGAATTCAGGTTTAATTTGACGCGGTCCTTCTAGCTTCATTTCAACTAATTATTTTCTTTTATTCTCTTTTTGTTTATGGAGTCAGTTAGCTAAATAATAGGATCATTAAGGTCAGTCATGATCCATTCTATTATTCCCATTTTCATTGTAATCCCGAGAATGTAGGGATATTTCATTGTTTCATGATTATCGCAAGCATCATGTAGTTCTATAAATATGTTAGCCGCCCTGTTAGCTGACATATGAGTGAATCGCAGTTTCAGTTCAATATTCCAGAGATTCTCTTGGGCTATTTTCTCTGCTTATAGTGAGATCCTTACTGTGAGGGAGAGGGTAGAGGGTTATTCTTTCCGCCTTATCAGTTTTTCCAATCAGAGCACATACCATAATCACATTTGCAGCCACTGGATCACTGTTTGATATCAAAATCAAAACTAAGAGACTTTAGTCCAAATAGAGGACTTGAAAACAAGCAAAATACACTCTCGTTCCCTCAGAAGCTGAAAAAATTGGGGGAAACCCGGGGGGGGGGGGGGGAGAAAAATGTCTGTGGGTAGTTGATATGAAAATAATGACAGAAAAGATGAAATTGATCTGACTGAGGATTTGGGCAAGGTCTGAGATTGTTTCACTGAGGAGGAGCCTTCATAAATTTCCCTGCGTTGATAGCACATGGTACAATATTGAACGAGTGTTATGGAGATTTTTCTTTTTATTTACTAATTTCCCTGCATTGACCCCAAGATAGTGCCAGAGTAGACCCATTCCACCTTAATGGCAGATAGCCTCTCCACCTTCATCCCATTCGACCATAGTGGCCACCATTGAAAATGCTAAACCATATATTACATCATGCCATTCCGATTTTCCCATTAGATAGATAATTGCCATCTCAACTCTATACAGCATTCATTAACAAGCATGGATTATACAGATAACTTCCGCATTAGTAATTTAGTACAATGGAATATAGTGGATACCTGAGCTTCCCTACAAAAGTCTGGATCTGAAAACCATGTCTCATCAACAACAACTTCAGGAGTTCTTGGCTTTCCGTTATATGCAACTGCGGCAATGGAAGAAGTTAAAACAACTCTTTTCACAGATGGAAATTTAGCACATGACTTCAGAACATTGAGAGTTCCCTTCACTGCCGGATCAAGCAGTTCAGTCTGAAATGAGAAAGATAACAGTCATGAGCTAGAAAATAAGGCCAAAAAAAACTGGTAGCTTCTGTGCTTGACTGATAAATTGTAGAAAATGTCAAACGTGTAATCATAAAATACTCAAAATAGTTTACCACTTTCCTTGGCCAAGAATCATGATTAAGAGATTCCAGACAGCAATTTATTAATGAAACCAGCCACTAGTCCAAATAGAAACAAGGGCATTCAAAATGAGAGACCTCCTCGTTTCTTTGATCTAAAATACATAGTTCCATTCGAAGAGGGTAAGGGCAGAAAGTGCAGTTGTGTTTCTCTTCAATTTTATGGCATTTCAACATTATAATTATACGTCATGAATAGAACTTGCCTAAGGCATGGCATTCTATTCGTTTTAATATATATTGCTTGGAGTTCCCCTTACTCAAGATTGCCTAATTTCAAGTTCAAGGTACACAATGAATTCATTTCATTTAACTATATCGACAAGATCATACTATTAGTTGCCAAGGGAAAAATTTTGGCAAATGTCAACATGACAATCTATCAGTGTTCAGAAATTAACTGCCTGATTATTGGAGGAAATGAAATACTATGCTCTGGTTCTCTTATTATAATGCCTTCAGGTTCCTAGGTAAGAATAACTTTTTGATTGCTCATTTGGAACTGCGATGAGGAAGACCTCATCTTAATGGGTCTCCCACTCCGCTCCCTCTCACCTTCCTAGATATTTAAAACCCTGTTCAAGCAGATTAAAGCAGTAAAAACAGAATGCTTTGCAATAGATAGACCGCATTCAAATATTCGTCAACAAAATGAAGGATGCGATGAACCTGTGGATCTTTGACATCATGATAAAAGGGAGACGCAGTATGAAAGACCCCCTCACACCCTTCAACAACAGGATCAAAGGAACCTTCATCCAGGAGGTTTGCTTTAACCAAGTGCAATCTCTCCTTCGCACCATCAAGTTTGACCAAGTGTTCTACCTTTTTGGGATCATCTGCAGGGAGTTACAAACCAAAATAAAATTCTCATTCAAAATCCTAATAATTAACATTATAAGAAAGAACAAGAAAAATTGACGCAATTTAACGACACTGAAACTTGGAAAGCATAATGCAAAATGGAATCTTTGGGGAACCCATGTAAAATAAATCTTTATCCTTATGAGCATAACCTAATCCTTGCTAGCTAATTGCACACATATTCATTTTCACTATCAAAGGAATATGTTACGTGAAGATAAGGATACGGCCACAAATTTACTACAAACACTAGCAAAAGTACAAAGCAAAAGGAAATATCAGAGCCATGAATCCCGTTTACAGGACCATGTCTTGGCTGGCTGGAGACCATTTTATCTTTTATGAACCATCGCAACGCCTGAAACTAGAGTCCAACGATGGGAAGATGAGATAAGAGCTCGCAGGAACATAGCTTTCGCAGAGGTTCGTATCATAAGGATCAATCTTTAATTTCCAATTACCATATACAATCCCCCTCCCACAAAACGACAAATAAAAGATCTGGAAACGGATATCTAAGCAATGCTAAATCCCAACCAAAAGTAGTGACAGAACACAGCAAGGAAAGTGAATTCCGGAGAATTCATAGAGATAAAAGCGACAAAATAAAAAGGGATCACTCACTAGGGTCGCGAACAGTGGCCTTGACAGTGTAACCACGATTGAGAAGGAACTTGACGAGCCATGAAGCAATATAACCAGAAGCACCAGTGACACACACGAGCTTCCCTGCGTTGTTGCTCATTTTCTGTCTTCCTCCTTGGTTGCTCTGCTGCTGCCCGCCTATTTATGGGAGTGAGGCAGGATCGGAGGAGCCTTACGTATATATAGCGGAGGCACACCGCCACGTCACTGTCAGCGTCAAAACGAATCCAATAAAATATTCACAACCAGTAATTTTAGTGTTTAAAATTTTACTTTATTTTGATTTCCGTTCATAAAATTCTAAACCAATAATTTTTATTTTTAAAACATAATTTTATTTTAATTTTGATACTTGAAAGATACTGTTCTAAAAACTTTTTAAACGTACTAAACAAAATCGAATTTCAATGATAAAAACTTTTAGTTTCAAATTTTATTAAAGTTTAAATACCAAAATCATTAATTTTAAATTTTAGACAACACAACCATAAGAAGTCATATCTTTTAGGATGTAAAAATTATATATGTTGAAAATATCTAAGTATTTAATGTATTTTTTATATGTTTACTGTAGAAATAACTTTTTTTCCATATTTATTATTTTTAATTAAATTTTTATCTACATAAATTGGTAATTTTTATCTTATAGAAAGAAAATGAGGTGATGCTTTCAAATTTTAAACATTTGCAAAATATACTTATAGTCAGTTTGCTATGAGAGAAATGGAGGGAATGAGAAGGGAGGAAAAATTTTAATAATATTGTTTTAAAAAACTAAAAAAATGGAGTTAAAATTTTTTGATTAATTTTAGTTACTCTTTTATTTTACATTTTCTTTTTATCAAATTTTATAATCCTATTTTTTCAATTTTCTAAAACCAGCTTATTAAATTTTTTCCTTCTCTTCCATCTTCGTCTATTTCCCTCATACCAAACAAACCTCTTAATGATAAGATAATAAATTTACTTTTTATAATAATAATTATTACCAAAAAAATGTTATGGCTAACTGTGTTGTAATTTGATGATTTAAAACAAACTTTGTAAAATTAAAGAATTAACTTGAAATTTTAGAAAATAAATTAAATTACAAAAAAGTCACTTTTATTTCATTTAAATGATAAAATTTATTTTGTACAATTTTTATTTGATATAGGTGTTCTTTGAGCCTTGGATGTGCATTAGTTCTGGATATTTAACTCACCTGAATATTTTATCTGTTCAAAAAAAATTGAAAATTTAAGGCAAGATTATGGTAATTGATGAAGGTGAGGGAATACTTTTTTTTTTGTTTGAGCTTAAAATTTTATTCTACCTGATATATGAAAAATATGAAAAAATTTTAATGATGCAGTCATAAACATTATAATTAACTTTAGCGACGTTGGCCAAAAAAAATTAACTTTATTGACTAAAGTTTGATAACAATTTTTTCAGATTATTATTATTTAATTAATTGAAACTACTATAGTTTAAAATTTCACAATTTTATTCATAAGTCGTAATTTTATTTAGAAAATTTATAGAGATTAATTTTTTCTCTCAACAAACTATGAAATTTTAGGAAACGAAAATTGGGAAATTTTAATTTATTCGTAGAATTTTTTTTTTTTGGGGGGGTGGGCAGAACTTTTGAATAGAGAATCTTTCTTCATTGGAATTGTTTTTCAGTAGATTAAAACCACCTAGATTAAGCTTGAATTTTTTTATTATTGATTAAAATTTATTGCTGTGCTATATTTTTCTTTGTTGAAAATAAAAGCATAAATTCTAAATTATTTAAATCAATTTTATTTAAAACAAAAGCACAATAGAAAATAGTTGTGGTCAAAAAAACTTTAAAAGGTCAAAAACAAGAAAAAAGAAAGCAGTTCAATTTTGATAATGGGTCTACAAATTGGGCTTTGCTTCCTCTTCTCATTTCTTTCCTTTTTTTAAAAAAAATAAATAAATTTACAGAACAACTGACGAATTCATTTCGTGTGCTCTTACGATCGCCACATAACTGTGCGTAGCTATGTCAGCTTTTACCAAATGATGACTTCATTACGTGGGCTCCGAGTATCGAGTTCGTATTTGAAAAAAAAAAAATACAGAGGAATGAAAAAAATAGAAAAGAAAAAACAAAATTAAACAAGTATCAATTAATAATAGTTATCAATATTTTTTTCCTTTTTTTTTTCAAATATAGGCATAGGCATTGCACAATCCTGTTTAAGACAATGTGAGGCACTAAATATAGAAACCTCTCTCAACAAAATTGACGAGTACTGGATAATTTTATAAGGGATATAATTATATAAATAAATTAATTAAATGGTTGAAATTTAAAGAATTGAGTTGAGAAATTGTAAATAAGTTAAAATTATAATGACTAAATGGTTAAATTTTTCTTTTCTTTTTTTTTTTTTGCTGACAGTTAAATTTTTCTTATTTAGTATTAGTATCAAATTAGTATAAAATGCAGTATTAATATACAAATTTGTTCAGGAAGTTTTCAATTTTTTAGGCACCTGAAAATTTTCTTCAATGTAAATTTGTTATAAAAGTTTAAAATTATTAATGATTAATGTTACTATTTTAATAATCAGTATTAATTTTTTAATAATAGGATAACATTACTATAATTTACTCTACTCCCTCGATCCTAAATATAAAATCTTTATACACACCAGTATAAGTGTCTTGTATTTAGAATTGAAAAAATATTTGGTTAGGTTTGTAACATGTCAAGTCTGTTAAGAGATCCATTAAAATATACAAACATGCAATGAATGGGCCAAAGATTAATGGACCAAAAGATTTGAAAAGTGGGCTTGCGTTGGTACTTAGTAGGAACAATGGATTAGTGTGTAATATACTCCTCTTGGCCTTTCTTGAAGGATTATGTTCTAATCCTACTTCTCATGCTTCACTTTCTTTAGTTATTGTTTGTCTTTTCTTTTTGAGTTGTTATACTCTTTAATTGATATGTCAAAGTAATATATTCCTCCGGTTCTAAATATAAAACCCATTTTATAATATAAATTACACTACAAAATGAATCTTATATGTAGCACCGGAGTAGTATTACCTTGTGTTTCCCATAATATTTATGACTCCATGCAATGGAATTTTATTCTCTTGTGCCTGCATTTGCAAATGTTAGTGGCTATGACGTCAAAACATATACGATAGCTATATAAATTTATATATATATATATATAAATTTATATATATAACACTTAATGGTAATTGATTTATTGATTCACACTATTAACAATTTTGTAAATGAAAATGGTTCTGATATAGAGGGTAGAAAATTATGTTACTAGTATAGCAGAGGAACTAAGAGAGAAAATGTTGAATTTTGTATTTGTGCAATTGTTGAAACTGTTGAAAATTTTTTGGGAGCTCTTAAGTATGAAGTTGTTGAAACTTGAGTTTGTGTATCTTTTGTTTGATTAACCTTTCTTCTTCTTTAGCAAAAAAGGGGGGAACCTTTCTTCTTCTTCTTCTGTTGGTGAAACCCCTTCCTTTTTCTTAGGTGGCTTCTTAGTTGATGATTGATGAAGCCTCCTAAGTCCTATAATAAATAAATACCAGCACAAAATAAGTAATAAATAAATGAAAAAATCTCCCAAAAAAATGGTGCTAAAATTTCAAAATACCAAATCAGGTATCACTATCAAAATATGTTGTTATTTGCTTTTTAAATGCTATCAATTGTTATTAAAATGTAATGAATAAAATTAATTTGGAATTTTAAAGATATTTTTTTGGCCCTAAATAAATCTGACTAATATGCTCAAATATTAAAGGACCTGAGTCCTCTATTGCTAATTGGGAAGTTAAATGGAAAAGGAAAATTTGGGAAAAAAATCCTCCATTAAAAATTTTGTTAAGAGAAGAATTTACTCGTATTTTGTATATACAAAAGTTGCAGAGCACCCATATTTTTAACATATAGAAATTTCTTAAACAATGCTTACATCAAATTTTTTATATCCATTATACCAAATTTTCTAACCATACATAACCATGTGTCCTATTTTTAAAATATCAACATTTAATAATATTTAATTATAAATCTACAAAAAATAAAAATAAAAAACGCGTGACTATGTGTGATTGGAGAACTTAAGACAATGGATATAAGAATTTTTTTTATCAAAGAATATTAAAAAAAAACTTGACCTAAATTTTTTTCTCAATTATTGTTTGTAACAAATTTTTGCAATTATGAAGTGCGTTCCACGCCAGTTTCTTATTAAGTCAAAACTAGCAAGGTTTTCTAAATCAATTAAATAACTTTTTATAAAATAGTTTAATGTGTTTTGCTCGTTATTAATTATTACTCAATGATCATTTTCTAAATCAATTTGATGAATTACCTACTTAAGTTAATGTCCTTTATTTTTTAATTATTAATATTTACGAGCTATTTATGAATCTCTAATTATCAACTAACAGTTAGTTCTGAAATACATCTTCTTAATTCTTTCACTAGCCCAAATTTACATTTTAGTATACATTAAAGCTTCTTTTTATTTATTTTAACAATTCAAAACGCCTCCCCCGAAAAAAGACCCACACATCACACAAACACATCCACCTCATATTGGGTTATAGTGGATATAGAACCCACAACCTGCTTTATGAGCGAAGGTATGGGATGTCATTGAGCTAAGAAGTTTTTGGATATACTAAAGTTTTTTCAATCTTATTGACTTCTTTTGACATGTACGTTAAAATTCCAATAGTTTTCACTCTAATGCATGCTTTGATCAGTTCTCACTTCTCACCTCCAAACATGTAAGCAAGGGTCAACTAATGGGATCCTCTATACCTTCATGCTTGACATTTCTGAATTCTATGTTCTAGGTTAAGCTAAATGTCTCCTATCTCATTTAGATTCCAAATGGATGGAGGGGATGCTCATAACAATAATGTTTATTCGTTACTGCTATGATCAAATACCATATTCTCTCCACATTTGTTTGGACCCATTTTGAGATTTATTATATCACCTCCACTGTGAAATAGAAGGTCTAGTTTGCTGTGCCTTGCTGGAATGAAGTGTTGGAGTTTCACCTTACTGTTTCAAAATTGGTTGTGCTTCGCATAGAAGTTCATAGTCATGACATGTCCACGAAGGATAACTTTGTG